TATAGAAAAATAACAAAACAAAAATTTGCTGGAAAAACATATCGTTATTTAAAAAAAATCAACACGTGTTCATTTGTTTGAGTCACTGCATGTGCTTTGTAAATTGCTTTCAATATAGAAATACATATATACATTTCTCCTACCAGCGATTTAATTTATTTTAAATATTTATCCGACAGAAGCGGCTCAAAAGCTTGGCGTTACTGAAAACGAATGCCTGCTGGAATTGCGTTGCGCATTTAAATCGGTCAAAAACCGCTATCAAAAGGTCTCTTGCCTGAAGAGGAAACGCTCAGAACCTGCAACTGAAGCGACAACAGAAGCAGCAACTGAAGCTACCACAGAAACTACATCAGACTAAAGTCTAACTAAAATACTTAAAATTAAGTTTTATTTCCATAAACATATATTTATACAACAAACAAAGAAGAATGAACTGAATTAAAACCTTAAGTTTAATTAAATAAGTATATACATATGCATGTACATGCAGCGAATCAAATATTTGCAATGCATTTTAAGTTAAAATTTTTATTATTTTTATTTTTTATAAAAATATTTTTATTCAACAGTCAAACGTTAAATAACTGATTGTCACAAATTTTAGATTTAATTACACACACTGAACTGAAGTACAATTTTAATTTTAAGTAACTTTTTAAATAAGATCTAAATACAAATATAAATATATGTCATACATATGTACATACACACACCGAAAAATGTATTGGCACAGAGAATATTTCAAAGTATATGCACCTATTTTTATTTTTGTCTGGATAATTTTTTATAAAAATATGGTTAATGCTACAACAAAAAAACGTAAAAATATAATTTCTAAAATTTATGCAAAGTTCAGGAAAGTTCAATAAATTTGCATACAGATTTGTAGCCCATTAAATTTTAGTATCAAACATGCAAGCTTGAAGTAGTTAAAAATCGCTTTGATTCAAAAAATTTATTGATCATTCCTGAGTTTTGCACAAATTTTAGAAATTATATTTAGATGTTTTTAAGTGTAGTATGATCATTAGTGTGACCGCAAGTTATATGGACAATTTTTTTTTTCATATTTTCATTCGGGAAACCCCTTAGATTGATTCCAAATAACAAAAAAAAAATATGTATAAAAAATTTTAGGTCGTTTGCATAGTTATTGGGCGTGCCTTGAGCCCACAAAGTTTGCTAAAAATGCTATTTTTCTCACTATGGCTCGCTTTATTTGTTCATAACTTCAGTAATTTTTATTTTAGAGAAAAATCTTATTCACAAATATTCTAGGGCTATATCTTATGAACAATGTTGCTCTGTATTAGTTTTCTTTAACATTAAAATTTAATACAGAAAAAAAAATAAATAAAAAAAACAGCGAAATTTTCACATATATTCGCATTTTTTGCCTGGAGATTATTTGTTTTATTAAATGGTGTAATTATAAAAAGTTTTGTGATAAAATCTCCTTCGTGCTTATAGGATATTGTTTTTGATAGTTTTTGACTACTTGCAATATATATTGTTTTTGTTCCTCGTCTTTTGTGAGAATTGGGTTTTAGTCTTGCATTAATTTCACCGCTCGTTCAGCTGTATCGTTCACCACGTTAATGTCATTAACAATTTGAAGAGCAGTTTTAAAATTATTATCCGCGGGCCATGAAGTTGGATCATTTTCCAAAAATGCTGTATTGATATTAAAGCGAAGAAAAAAATTGTTTGTCTCAGAAGAAATGAACTGAGCCATTCCGCCTTCGATAACCTGCATAACATTTAAATTTTGAATTGAGGCGCGTTTTACGTCTTCATCTAAAGCCTCACGACTCAATGCCTTAACCATCTCTTTTTTTGACTCAATAGATACACTTTTATCAAAAAATGCTAAAGCCACACATTCATGACTCAAGTACCATAAGTGCCTTTTAAATTTGTGTAATGCAGCTTGAGATATATCAGCATCAATTTTTTGAAAAGAATCCAGTTTTTTCAAAAGCTGGAAATCTTTGTATGGTGCTTGAGCAGCAGAAGAGGCAGAGAACCACATCTCAACATATATTGAAACAATAAAAATACATATATTACGTAAAGCTTTCCTATCTTTTACTGCCAAATCAAGGCACGCCCAATAATTATGCAAACGACCTAAAATTTTGTATACATTTTTTTTTTGTAATTTGGAATCAATCTAAAGGGTTTCCCGAATGAAAATACGAAAAAAAAATAACGGTCACACTAATGATCATATTAACCAAAATAAAAAACTTATTGCATTTATTTTGCACCAATGCTTTTTTCCGGCAGTGTACATAGTGTGTTTGTAGGCATTTTACATTCCTTTCTCTGTAAGACATTGATGATTAGTTTATTTTCAATCACTAGAATAAGGTATTCTTTGTTAGCTGTTGATTTTATCAATGCATTCTGTATTCGCTTCTATGAAAGGCACTGACGCTTCGTTTATTCTCAATAACTAGGAGAAGGCATTCTTTTATTCGCTTCTCTGGAATCTGTTTATCAATGCGTTCTGTATTCGCTTCTATGGATGGTATTACTGCTTCGTTTATTTCCAATAACTAGGATAAGGCATTCTTTGTTCGCTTCTCTGGATTATGTTTATCAATGCATTCTGTATTCGCGATATGTAAGGTATTGATGCTTCGTTTCTCGTCAATCGTAAATATAAAGTGTTCTCGCTTCGTTCGAGGGTAATGCTGTGGGTAAGAGCTTACCGCCAATGACATGCCCATGTTAAAATAAGGCCTTCTTCAAGCGAAAGGGTAAGCGATTCTCATCGCCTAGCTCGTTTCCACTCTCGTTTCTGTGGTAATCGTGTTTTTTGCTGGCTCCATCCCTCGCAAAAAGTTTTTTTTCTTTCTGAACAGAAAATTTTCAAAGAGCAATAAAAATATTTATGTTCGGATAGCCCGCTAATCAAGCAATTTGCCAAGCTTTTTCAATTAAGGCAATAATTGAGCTCGATTTACCATACAAAATTTCAATTCTTATTTGCCCGATTAGTGCTTAATTGAGTGTAAATTGAATGAAAATGCTGCGTATGTTTAATTTAAACTTTGAGGTACATTTATTGAACAAATAGAAATCAGCAGTTTCTGGTCCTCTTTTACAGCTGATATTCCATCAGTAATGGAAAATTTAATTTTTAAATTGTACCTAATTTGCGGAAAAGCTTTACCTAAAAGTGTACAAATGTACTTAAAAAGTAAATATGTATGTATTTTTATATGAACATATATATTAAAAGAAGTAATTTTTAAGCAAAAAACATAACCGACTTAAATTCGGATACACAAATTTAGGAGTACCGTTAATTTCTTCATGATCCAATGTCGGATCTAAACAAATTTAGTATGAGACCACCTCGGAGACACTATCTAGGTTAACGTGGTCTAAAGTTATGCGGTAACATACATAAAAAAAAATATTACGACGAATTGATAACCTTCTCCTTTTTTTGAAGTCGGTTAAAAAATGAGAGGATAGCCTTTCCCTTCGATACCATATCAATTTCTGGACTCACATTAAACAAATTTGGCTAGGAAAAGAATCTCTTCATGCAGTTCGAGACAAAACTATGTTTTCGAAAAGATCGTTTTAAAAAGAAATATTCTCTGTCTATATGGCGCAAGTAACTACAGTTACGTTAATTTTACCACCCTTTTGTATCATTTGTATGCCCCTTCAAAAGTGAGGAAGGCTATTGGACAAGTTACTCCACCAGAAAATGCGTTGAGATGTGCATAAAAATAAGAATTGATTTCCTGAAAAAGTTATTTTACTACGTTCCATATGTAGCTAAAATGGTGTGTTTGTACCGAATGTACTTTCATTTAGTTTGAAACGTACCATTGTACCAACTTTTCCGCTAATCGAGCAGATGACTACACGGTCAAAAATTTGGGTTTAATTTTTAAACCGCGCTGGGACTACTGCCTTTTTTAAACTTTTATAGTCTACTTTTTAAACCAGTCAATAGTTTTACGCAATTTTTAATATATTCTGGTTTAAATTTTAGCCCAAAAAGTTCGTGGTTTAAAAATCAAACCAAAATGTTTTAATTCTAGTTTCTAGGTTTCAAATATAGAAACTTTGGTTTAAAATCTAAACCGAAATAGAATATGTTTGCACAGCGAATTGTGGTGTTGATTCAAACTCAACATATGAAAGCACATTTACATGCGTGGCTGTAGCTGAGTGTGCAAAGATGCTTGATACAATTGGTTGCTACCAAGGCTGTCCGGGTTCAATCCCAACCAGACGGAGCATGAAATTTAAGATTGTTTTTTTTTTTTTCTTAATTATGAAAATGTTTGGGTTTAACATTTAAACCGAATTGTTTAAATTCTAAACCCAACAAATGTGCTCTCTTTTTTATAAACTTGGAAGGTTTGTATTTGAAACTGAATTTAGTTTGGTCATATATGTAGTCCAAAAAGTTTAAAATTAAAACCGAAATTTTTAACCGTGTATGTTTGAACACCAAAAAGCGGTAGCGCAATAAAGAAGTTAATTGACTCAATTCAATGTCTGAACTTAAAATCAAGCCATAATGGCTTTATTTTCATCTCCAGTTGGAAATAAGGCCGTATCGAAATTATGGTTTTATTTCCAATCGCAAAGAGAAATAAAGCCATTATGGCCTTATAGCTTATGGTATTACTAAATTTAAAAAATATGCCGGATTTTCACTGGGCAATAAAGGATACAAATTTAATGACAAATTTGGTCATTAAAAACATCCGTAAATACTTTAATAAAAATGGTGATTTTTTGTGATTTCAATGCCTAAGGGAAGTCCGACATTATGTAGTTTATTTGGTAATAAATTAACAGTTTATTAGGTTTACATAGATATTAAACATCTATCCTTTATAAAAAAAGTTTATTTATCATAAAATTATCGAAACTTTCTGATATAAGACCTTGGTTCGAACCGCCTATGTGGAAATACATTCTTTTTGAGGCAAAGAGCCACAAGCGCAATACTTTACCTGTATGACTCGATTGGGGTTTCAAAGGAATCTTGGCGTTCGTTTGCCGCACTTTCGATAATGTCTCGGTAATTATTGTAACTCATTATGATATCCTTAATATCCTCTGCATTATTTAAAGCACGTTTAATGTACTCCTCTTTGCCAACAAAAATAATTGGTTTATCATCATAAATTCCCGATTCCAAAATTGTACGATCCATTTCATCTATGTCGATTTGTTTGTAGATTGTTGGTCCGGATTTTATTTTAAGATAAGCCGGTGCAACGTTCTCTAACACATTTGCAACGATTGTTTTATTCTTCACCAGTTTCTCTTCTTTATGGCGCTTTTCTATTATTTGAGCTTGTGTTTTTGCAATGAACTCTTGCAATTTCTTCGCTCTCAGTCGTTTCACCCGCGATTTTCGCTCATTGGCTGATATGTCGGTAACTAGAAGAAAAAACTATTTGAAATCGAAATCTTTAAACAATACAGCTTTACATATACGTATGTACATTAGGTTGGCTCGGGCAAACGGCAATAAGGCCAATTTGTGTTATTTCTCAATTCAGGTGAAGGTATTTATCATTTATCTGGTATTTTCTTATCAAAAATTGACTTTGAAACGTAGATGCTAAAGATTATTAGTTAAAAAAAAATGTGAGTACCGGGTCGCAAGGTCTTGAAATCAGACGCATGTTTTATAGAATTTTATGTAGTTTTCGAATATATAATTGGATTTTTCGCACGACTTTGCAAATATATGTCATTTTCGATTTTCTTAATTTTATATTTTAAGCTTCTTTTTGCGTGATTTCGCGAAAAGAATTTTTCGAAGAATGGAAAAATCACACACTTTTTAAGTAAAACCTTTATTTTCTCAGTGGAAAGCAAGAAACACAAATTAACCAAAATTCCATCACATCTAATGATGACCCACATTTTTTGCGAGTTTTACTATAGACCTTATCGTGATCCAATCTTCCTCATACTTTATATGTAAGGTTTTCTAATAAAAGAGAGAGTACAAACTAAATTTTATCGAAATCGGATGAAATTAAATTTTTCCGCCCACAAGAGTGGAGGGGGTGGCACTATCCCATCTTAACCAAATTTTATAATTCCCTATTCTTAAGTAAAATTATAAAAAATGTTTCAGCGAAATCGGGGGAGGTTAAATATTATTTCCACCTGCCTCCATATAGCTGAAACACTGTGCGGCGGTGTATGTTCGCGCCACCCCGCACCGCGTTCGGCGCAACGCTCGTGACCCCCGCCCCTTCCCTCCTTTCCCAATTATGCCTTGATGGCATTACAACGTTTTCAAGAAAATATTAATAATAAAGTGACAATAGTTCACTGCTGAAACTGCTGCATAATGTCAAGGAAATCGGATATTTTTCGGAATATTATCATGAAGAAAATATCGGATAGTTATGTTAAGAAACAATAAAATCAGTTCATTTGTTGTAAATATCTTTTTCTTATAAATTTGTTTTTCATTTTTGGTATATGGGGATATTACTCATCTTTAATTCCTTTTTAATACTGCCATTTTAATATTTATTAAAATCTGGGTAATTTTGATAACAAATTTGACGTCTTGTTGTAGGTCATTTACCATTTTATTTTTATTTGAATAATGTAATTTTAATTTGTTCCTTTGTTGTAAATATTGTTTTAATTAGGGCTGTGCGATTAATTGATTATTCAAAAATTTAATTAATCATAAAGTAAATAACTCAATTATTCGATTAATTGGAAATTATGATTACTCAAAAGTTCAATTACTCGAGTAACCAAGATTTTGATTAACCGAAAACAAAAATATATGAGTAATTTGATTTATGATTAATCAACATTATGAGTAAAATGAGTAATCAAGATTTCAAAGTACTGTTTACATATAAAGCAGTTGAAGTTCCTTGATACTTTGAAAACAACGTTTCTGTTTCCAAAAATAATTTTTTCATGTACAGAATGTAAAAAAGAAAATAAGCATTTTCCAAAGCAAACTCACTTAACGAGCAAAATTAATTTTTTTGAGTAATCATATATCAAGTAACTCGATTAATCATCGTTTTGAGTAATCAAAATCTTAATTAATCGAGTAATTGATTAACCGGAAAACTGATTAACCACCTTGGTCGAGTAATCAAATAATTGCACAGCCCTAGTTTTAATATTTCTAAACGGAAAATTTCAAAAGGCACATAAAACCATTATGGCTTTATTTCCATATCCAGTTGGAATTAAGACCATATCGAAAAGCACCCTGAAATTGTGCATATGGAAACTGTGCAAACCAAATAATGCATATGAATATACGCAATTAAATACGGACGCTGCACAAAAGTTGAAGATATCGAAAATACTGTGAAAGAAGGGGGGGTTGGCAATGGAATCGAGTTAAATAAAATCGTCTTGATAGCAACTGTTGGAGCCAGGAGCCTGGCCCGAATAACATCGATTCTTCAAATATACCACGAAATTCTAACATTTCTGCATAATTCATCAAAAAGTAGTTGAAGTCATCAACTTGGTGATTAAATACGATTGTTAACAGCACTCTATCGTCTCCAGTTTAAATAATTCCTTGAATAAATATTCTGAACTAGATCTGCACAATAAACGACGGCTTTCTAAAGGAAATATATTGAAAAGTTTTCAGTTTCAACTTCATCATCACCAACTTTAGATATCATAACGGAACTAAATGACCTAAAACGAAAACTGCAAGGAAAAGGAAATCTAGAAGGGAATTTAATTGTGTCTTATTTAATTGAATTTTCCTCACGGTTACGGACGCGACGAATTTCAAACAAAAATAAAATTGTACATTCGATTTGTCGGGGGCGAATGTCGTTTCTCCTCTGTGCCAACTGACGCCAATTGGAAACGCCAAGTGAAGCCAAGTCCTTCTCCACCTGATCTTTCCATCGCAGTGAAGGCCTCCCTCTTCCTCTGCTACCACCAGCGGGTTCCGAGTTGAATACTTTCAGAGCTGGAGCGTCGGTGTCCATTCGAATGACATGGCCAAGTCAGCGGAGCCGCTGTATTTTAATTCGCTACACTATGTCCATGTCGTTGTAAAGCTCATACAGCTCATCGTTCCATCGTCTGCGGTACTCGCCATCGCCAACGCGTAAAGGCCCGTAAATCTTCCGCAAAATCTTTCTCTCAAACACTCCAAGAGCCGCCTCATCGGAAGTTGTCATTGTTCATGCTACTGCGCCATATACCAGCACGGGCATGATGAGTGACTTATAGAGCGTGGTTTCGTACGTCGAGGGAGGACTTTACTCCTGAATTGCCTACTCAGTCCAAAGTAGCACTTGTTGGCAAGAGTGATTCTACGTTGGATTTCAATGCTGACATTATTATCGGTGTTAATGCTGGTTCCCAAGTAAACGAAATTCTCTACTTTCTCGAAATTGTAACTGTCAACAGTGACGTGGGTGCCAAGGCGCGAATGTGCTGACTGTTTGTTTGATGACAGGAGATACTTCGTCTTGTCCTCGTTTACCACCAGACCCATGCGCTTTGCTTCCCTATCCAACTTGGAAAAGGCAGAACAGACTTCGCGGTTTTTGTTACCGATGATGTCGATGTCATCGGCATAAGCCAGCAATTGCACGCTCTTGTAGTAAATTGTTCCTGAGCGGTTTAGCTCTTATTATCTTCTCAAAGATCAGATTAAAGAAGTCACATTAAAGGGAGTCGCCCTGTCTGAAACCCCGTTTTGTGGCGAACGGCTCGGAGAGGTCTTTCCCAATTCTGACGGAGCTGGCGGTATTGCTCAACGTCATTTTACACAGCCGTATGAGTTTGGAGGGGATGCCAAATTCAGACATAGCGGCGTATAGGCAACTCCTTTTAGTGCTGTCAAACGCGGCTTTAAAGTCGACAAATAGGTGGTGAATGTCGATCCTTTTCTCCCGGCTCTTTTCCAAGATTTGGCGCATTGTGCATACCTGGTCTATGATGGATTTGCCAGGTCTAAAGCCACACTGATAAGGCCCAATCAGTTCATTGACGGTGGGCTTCAGTATTTCACACAATACGCTCGATAAGACCTTGTAACCTATGCTTAGAAGGCTGATCCCGCGGTAGTTGGCGCGAATGGCGGGGTCACCTTTCTTGTGGATTGGGCAGAGCACACTTAAATTCCAGTCGTCGGCATGCGTTCATCTGACCATATTCTGCACAAGAGTTGATGCATGCACCTTATCAACTCCTCGCCGCCGTACTTGAATAGTTCAGCTGGCAGGCTGTCAGCTCCAGCAGCTTTGTTGTTTTTCAGCCTCGTTATTGCTATACGTACCTCGTCATAGTCAGGCGGTGGAACGCCGTCATCATCGACTGCGGGCTCGGGTTCTTCTTCTCCACAACTTTCCGTGCTGCTACCATTAGTAGGGCGGAAAAGTGTTCCCTCCATAATTTAAGTACGCTCTGGACATCAGTTACTAGGTCGCCATTATTGTTCTTACAGGAGTACGCCCCGGTCTTGAAACCTTCCGTAAGTCGCCTAACTCTCTGGTAAAATTTTCGAGCATTCTTCCTGTCGGCCAGCATTTCAAGCTCTTCGCACTCACGTATTTCGGTCTCTCTCTTCTTATTGCGGCAAATACGTCTCGCTTCCCTCTTCAGATCCCTATAGCGGTCCCACATAGCGCGCGTTGCGCCCGATCGCAGCGTGGCCCTGTAGGCGACATCTTTTTTCTGTGCAGCCTCCTGACACTCCTCATCGTACCAGTTGTTCTTTCGGGCCCGCTGGAATCTGCCTACTAGTTATAACAATAAATAAGGTTTTAGGTAACGGACGCGACAATAGGATATACGTATAGCGAAATAAAAAAAAAAAAAACGAAAGTCGAGGTTGCTTCGCTCTTTTTACATCCAGAGTGTAAAGGTTGCTTTTAGTAGAAAAATTCGAAATTACAACAACTGCATGTATAACTTTTAGTACTCTAAATACAAATATGTTAATATTACTAGCCAAAAGGATTAGAAAGCAAGTAAGAAAGTCTAAGTTCGGGCGCACCCGAACATTAAATACCCGAAAACTACCGCTACATGGTAAGCAGGGGTGGTTTTACCCCTATTTTAAACATCTTCAACAGCAAGCAGGTTCAGTTAGACATAATGAGATAAACTTATATAATCATATGTGGGCGGTATCACGCCCATTCTCCAAAATTCCAAATAATGTTACTTATTTTCAAAGGATTGTTGTTAGTATCAATTTTGAGTAAATTAGCGACCTTACATTTCAAAATATCGAAGTTTCAAGCATATCTAAAATTTACAGTTATATGAAAAGTGGCCGTAATTTCAATCCCATTTCAATAATTTTCAACATTTTGCTATTATGTGCCAAGCACAATAACGGTACGAATTGGTCGACCGGTTACCGAGATACATATATGTGGTCATAAGTGGGCTGTGCC